TGTGTGTGTGTGTCTGTGTGTGTGTGTGTGTGTACCGGTGTTTTGGCTGCGGTCGGGCAGGGAGCGAGTTTTCCTCCTCAGAGGAGTTGAAGATTTCTCCAGCTCCTCCTTTAGGATGATTTTACCAAGATTAGACTGAATCTGACAGAGAGAGAGAGAGAGAGAGAGAGAGAGGGGGAGAGAGAGAGAGGGGGGGAGAGAGAGAGGGGGAGAGAGAGAGAGAGGGGGGGGAGAGAGACAATCATTTGTATGCTTTATCATCATTCAGATTTCTTTTCTCTCTTTATCTTTTCTCATCTTTTACCTTGTTGAGTTCTTGTTTCTGAAGAGTTCTGAGTCCCCCCAGTTCATCATCCTGCTCCTCATCCCCCTCTTCATCTTCATCCTTCTGCTCCTTCCTCCTCCACTCCTTCTCTAGAGGAGGGGAGGAAACGAGGATAGAGGAGAGGAGCAGCAGTGGTGAGGAGGAGAGGAAACACGGAGAGGAAGAGGTGACGGGAGGGAAGGACAAGAGTCAGATTGATGCAAGAGTGTGTGTGTGCATGTGCTTGTGTGTGTGTGTGTGTGTGTGTGTGTGTGTGTGTGCATGTGCTTGTGTGTGTGTGTGTGTGTGTGTGTGTGTGTGTGTGCATGTGCTTGTGTGTGTGTTGTACCAATCACAGCCATGGAGGGGGGGCAGGGCCAGTATTCGGTCTCGATCTTGGACGGCAGGTTTGGGTCGGGAGGTTGAGCTGCTGGAAACTTTGATGACTCGATGATCAGATCCTCAATTTGTTTCCCCTGAGGGACGACAGAGGACGACACGTCTGCACAGACACACACACACACACGCACACAAGCACAAACACACGCACACACTGGTAACATGATTACATGTAAATGGCGTGTAGCAGAAACCTCTTTAAACCTCAGTGAAACAAACCTTGTTTGTAGATCGGAGGCTTCTTATAGATGTTGGAACCATTTTCTGAATAAAAGAACATTTTAGAAATAAATTCTTCTTCAAGAGATGAAAAATAAAATCTTTCAAATTTGAATTTTTTTCAAGTATAAATTAAATTAGTTTAACTTAAATCAAAAGACTTTTAAAATAAATGATCTTTACATGTATTTGTCGTGTTCTTTTATTTGCTGTGGTTTAGAATGAACAGTCGTTACCAGGCCTGTGGAAGTGCTGCACGGAGCTCTTGTTGCCAGAGGAGTGTGTGTTCAGTGTGTGTGGTGTGTGTGGTGTTGATGGGGTGTGTGTGCTCTCTGTTCTGCTGGTCTGGAAGGTGGAACCAGGAGAGGAACCTCCAGGGGAACGGTTCTCCAGCCAATCCTTGGGCAGGTTCTGGACACAGAGAGGAGGACGGGGGACAGCGGTCAGTGAGACACACGATGATGACGTTAATCTTATTTGATATGTGTAAACCATTGTGTGTGTGTGTGTGTGTGTGTGTGTGTGTGTGTGTGTGTGTGTGTGTGTGTGTGGAGCATCACACTGTAAACAGGAAGTGAGGGAGGGGGTCTTACCTCTGGGGAGGGAGGAGGAGAGATGGAGCGAGGAGACAGAGACCTCTGCAGGACGAGAGACAAGAAAATACTTAAAAAACTTTAAAGTTAGAAACAGATTCAGAAAACAAGGAAAAGACTTCAGACGTAAATATGTTTATACTGATGTTCTTCTTGTTATTGTTTTAGATCATTATTATTATTGTTATTCATTTGGAACGGGTTCTAAGTTTAGTCAATAATAACAGTGTGTTATTGTCCTTATTCATTATTTATTATTAATAACGGATGTATCATCTAAAAGCAGTGAGCCGGTCGCTCTGATTGGACAGCATGTTGCAAAGCCTCATGGGACAGTTATGGGTTTGACTGATATTTGGTTGATATTTGGTTGATGTGGGTTTTGTGTATTTGTGTTTTTTGTGTTAATTTAAGTTCACTTGTGTTGTCACCAGGATGTGGGATGTGTCTGTTATTGGGTCCAGTCATCGCTCACGTGAGACGTCCCAACAGAAAGTTGTGTGATTTATGGGACGTCAGTTTGGTTTGTGAGGACAGTTCTCTGTGGTCGCTCGTCATTCTCACACACACTCTGTTCACACTGATCTGATGAACTGTTGTGTATTCAGATTCAGTTTGTTCTGTAACAACAGAATCTGTAAGGAGGCTCAAGATGTTAAACTTTATTGTAAATAACTACAAATAAAAAGAAAACACAAATTGCTCCAAATAGAACTGGAAAAGAGACGATGAGGATACTTTGATGTAAAATATAAATATAAATGCAGAGTCGAGTTTAATTCTGAACCAACGTGTGTTTGTGTCGTTTTATTAACACACAACAGGAAACTGAGCTTTTGTTAGGGACGATTTTCACCAGTGGATTTGTGGACAAAGTGTGTGTGTGTGTGTGAGCTGTGTTACATCACACACACACAAACACACACACACACACACACACACACACACACACACACACCTCTAGTGGACTGTAGCTGTAGTGCGGCTGGTAGATCATCAGGTCGGGTCGCTCGATGTCCAGAATGGCCTTGTCTCTCGGCAACGCCGCCAAGTCCTTGTAGCCGATAACCCCATCCTCCACTCGGGCCTGAGGGGGGGATTACAGATTACTGCCTCAAGATTAATCTGAAGGATATAACCTAATCAGTGTGTGTGTGTGTGTGTGTGTGTGTGTGT